GAAAAAAAACCACAGAGGTTAGAGACAACTTACAGCACCATATATCCCTTTTTTCCAGCAAAAGTGCATAATCATGACACGCACTTCGAAGCTTCACTTTTATCCCCCACAAAATGCCTCTAAGATACCTACACTTTCTCCTTCTCAAACTCAATTCTCACAATTTCTCCTTTACCAAATCCAGTTTCTCAAAATTTGTTGAACAATCGCCCAATCTTTAGACGTCTCATAATTCATACTCAATAAGTTTGCCAGCATCCCATACAGTTCCTCTTACATGACTCTTCCAATTATCTCTATATATAAATAGAAAGGCTTCTCAGGACTCGACATCTACCATGAAGAACAAGCTTAATTATCAAACTTTCGTCAACTTTTGAAGCCTCAACGAAATTCCTCATAGCATTGAAGGTATTCTCTAGACTCGAATGCCTACTTCTACTTAATAAATTCGCTCGACATTCATCCGGAAACGACATTCAAATCATAAACCTTCCAAGGCAGCTTACATGTTTTCTTTGAACTGTGACATGTCAAATTATATTTATTCCCTCAATTCAAACAAGAAAATTAGCATAACAAAGAAAAGAACAACTTAAGCTCAAAGCTACACCAAGAAATAAGCCTACATCAAAAGTTGTCCCATTTCCCTAAGTTCCTTTTTCTGTCAACCCTCTAGCGGATACCATTTCCTTGTAGATCACACAGACCCTCATGTGAGGAACTATAAACCTCAAGGAAGCGGCCCAACAGTCTGAAGAGTTAGATTAAAAACCTGGAACGAGGTTCCAAAAGCCACACGAGGTGAATTCTTTTCATTTACCTAAACCTTGGTAGGCGGAATTATCTGGTACTAATGTAGACGGAATGCAGCAGGTACCCAACTGACTAGTCGAGATACGTAGTCTAGACGCGCACAAACTAACATCATCACAGAAATTATCTGAAAAAACTATATTTTTATACAATAGAACCCCGGAGCTAACAAGTGCATAATGGATTTGTAATATAAATGTAAGCTGGTCCGAACACCATGATTAACAACCTATGTTTGAGACAATAAATTTACTAAAAATCTGAGAGAGAAAAGACAGAGTAGTACTTGAGATCTTGTCTAGAGGATCGAGGATCAATGGAGGACATCTCCAAAACGGCCCGATCATTATCGTGCGCCACCACCGGACTGTACTTGCGTCCACCCCTACTACTACCTGGTGCGAACTCATTCTCATCCGCACCCTCAATTTCTCCTCCACCGTCCATTTCCTCCTTATCACGATTTGAATGCATGGAATTCGCACAATGTGAAATGCAAAATGCCCCCAATTGCACGAAATTTAAATGAAATGATTCAGATCTGATTCCACGTAGATAGGGATCTGACAATTCAAATAACAGGGGTTGAATATTAGTATTTGTATTGAAGATGACAGATAAGGCGGGCGGGTTTCTTTGAACAGAGAAAAGGGGTAGGGGAAAAAAGTGTGTTTAGTTTCCTTAATGGAGCAGTAGCTATTTTTTAACAGGGTTTGTTAATGTTAGTTCACACGCAAATTGGAAAACGCGTGCGATGTACGCGCCTCAAGGACCCAAACCTCGCCTCACCCGGCGCACCTGTTAGAGGGGGGTTTTGGAAGGCACGAGGGTTTTTGCTCCTTTTTTTTTTGGATAGTGAAACTTGAAACTCTCATGAGCAATGAACGAGCCAAAAATTCAAGGCCAAATACGTAAAAAGACCCTTAAACTCATCACAATTTTTCACTCATTGGCCACTCAGTGTATATATAAAATGTACTTATTAAACACTTCACGAACAATCAGCAAATAAAATTAAACGCGTGATTATCAAACGCACTGACATGGCAAAGTGTCAAATAAAACTATGACACATCGCTGGCTAACATAAACTCACGCGTTTTGATTTTGATAATCACGCATTTTATTTTGTTTGTTGATTGTTCGTGAAGTGTTTAATCGGTACATTTTACATAGACATTGAGTGGCCAATAGGTGAAAATTTGGGACAAGTTTAAGGGTCTGCTTATGTATTTGGCCAAAATTCTATGATGTCGAAATAAAGGAAAATAAAGTTTTCACCCTATAGCCAATGAAATGTTGACATGTAATCAAGTTCTTTTGTTTCTCTCACTTATCGTTGTAAGAATCGTACAAATAAAGTACACGGATGTTGTTAGAACGCAATTGTAACGATCCGGCCGGTCGTTTTAAGTATCATAGCCTCGTTCCCTCATTTATTGCAAATGTTATGCTCATTTATTGTTATGTGACTCACTGGGATGGTTGGTTTGGTTCTGGGGATGTTTCGAAATGAGTTGTGACACTTAGTCCCAAGATTGGAAGCCTAAGTTGAAAGAGTTGATCGGATGTTAACTTATGTGTAAATAACTCCAGAATGGAGTTTTGATGGTTCTGATAGCTCTGTATGGTGATTGTGGACTCAGGAGTGTGTCCGGTTAGTGATTTGGAGGTCTGTATGTGATTTTAGCTTTGAATTGGCGAAAATTGAAAAAATAGAAGTTAGGAGAGTTGGGAAGTTTGATCAAGAGTAGACTTTGGGTTACCGGGCTCATATTTTGGTTTCGAAAGTTGGAATAGGTTCGTTGTGTCATTTATGACTTGTGTGCAAAATTTGAGTTCAACCGGAGTTGATTTGATAAGTTTCGGCATCGATTGTAGAAGTTGGAAATTCATTAGTTTCAAGTGAGTTGCGGTGCGATTCATGTTTTTGATGTTGTTTGATGTGATTTGAGGTTTCGAGCGAGTTCGTATCGTATTTTATGAGGTGTTGGTATGCTTGGATAGGGTCCCGGGTGCCTCAGGTTTGATTCGAAAATTTGAATTGAGAATTGGACTTAGGAAAAATGCTAGAGCTTCAGTTTTGGTGCAATCGCACCTGCGAGAGATTTTCGTAGAAGCGGCTTAGGGATCGAAGATGCATTATGGCTACACTACTGGTGAGTTACAGGTATGAGGGTTATGCTCCATTTGCGAGCCCGCATATACATTTTGTGTTTCGCTGATGGGCAGTGTGGAAGGGATCGCAAAAGCGATGGCTTGTCCACATATGCGGTCCCGCAGGTGCGAAGATGGGTCGCAAGTGCGCATGGTTCGGGGTCTAGTGTTCTCCGCAGAAGCGACATTTTCTCCGCAAAAGTGGGATCGCAGGTGCGATCCTTTGGCTTCATAGGTGCGAAATACCTGGGCAGAGTATATATTCGAAGGGTTCCGAGATTTTATTCATTTTTGAACTTTGGGAGCTCGGATTGAGGCAATTTTTGAAGGGTTTTCACTTGATTTGGAGAGGTAAGCAACTTTTAGTCGCTTTAATCTAATTATATTGATTACCTATTGAATTTTCCCCATAAATTTAGTGTTTTTGAGGTGAAAATTAGGGATTTTTGACCCATATATTGGAGAGTAATAATTTAAGATTTGAGTGACGATTTGGTGTCGGATTTTG